CTAAAAACTTGGGAAACGGGCGGAATGTCGTCGTCTTGGCAAGTGGGGTACGAAGTACGAAAAGATGGGCCGCGTTATTATCGAAATGAAATTATACCGTCGTGAAATTGTACGGCGATGGCAGGGTGTAACGACGTAATTTCCCTACCCTTTTCTCTCACTTTTCTCTCAAATTTCCCGTTGCTTGGCGGAAGAATAAATTTACTTGCGAAGAACGTAAGGAATCTTCCAAGGGTGGATGAAATTTACAAAATTACTACATTATCGTATCGATAATATGGCTGGCTGAAGAGTTGTATCACTTGGGACGATCGTACTTGAGAATACGATTAACCAATTTCAGATTTACGACGGTTCTTCAACAACTCGAGCCGGTGGATGAAAACTTGGCGTCGCAAGGAGATGTACGACGCAATTCCGCGGGTCTGTTGTTCGGTTTCTAAAATATGCGAGACACGGCTCGAGTAAATTTCGGATTTATAGCACGATCTTAGCCTTATAATGAAACTTTTCGCAGTGGCTGAACACTTTGCGTTCATTAGAACGTGAAAAGCGTAGCTTTTTAATCAGATCGTTTAATCGCAACCTCTTTGACTAGTTAATCGTATGTGTCGTATATATGATGCTTGTGTATGCTACGTTGTATCTGACGTAAGGCAAAAGAAAAAAAAAAAAAAAAAAAAAAAAAAAAAGGCAATGAAACAATGACAGAGAGGAGAGAGAAGTCGAGAGACGACATAAAACCTTGTCGTAATTAAGCTCTTGCCCTTGAGCTTAAGCTCCTTAGAGGTTTTCCGAGGCACTGAAATTCCCGCATACCCGTCAACCTCTAATGAGGGGATTGCGGATGAAGTTTCAGGCTAGAAAGGAGCAATTAGGCGAATCCAGCCCTTGAAGAATCTACGCACGCTGTAGATAGATGTTCACATGTAGAGCAATATCTTCTCAAATCAAAGAGATCGCCAAACTCAATGTTTATTCAGGAAATTAGGTGAAAAAATTCTCTCAGCCGCACAGCTCTCTGTTAAATCTTGGAATTTGGCAGCCATCTTTGCCTAAGAAAAAAAAAAAAAAAAAAAAAAAATAGAGACAAAAGTAATAAAATAAAAAGAAAAAAAATAATCGTCGTGCCGGAGGAATCAACCACCCGAGTGAATCCTCGTCGGCAACGTCTCTCAGGCTGTCTCAATCCTGCTAGTCAGAGGTAAGAAAGATCACCGGGACAAAATTAAACGACCTCATCATCATTAGAACGCGACCACCTAATTACCGGGAACGTCTTAGACGCGGATGACATCGTCGACGAACACAGACAATCGAGCCACCGAACAGAAGACGCGCAGAGACACTCGCTCACCCCGCTCACCCCTACGACAACCGTTCCTCGCCACCACCGTCCTGGTTATAGCCGGTTATATCCGTGTGACGAGCGAGTCAGAGAGAGGATGAGACGGATCCGCTGTACACGGGGGATGAAAGCTTATTAATGGGAGGGTGGTAGGTGAAAAGGCCTAGGAACAGTAGCTAGAAGAAGAACAGGGTATAACGCGGGCCTTGAGAGCTGCTGGTGCTGCTGTTCGAGCTGGCTTCCGCTGCTTCTGTTGCAGGTGGATGAGTTTGAGGGTGGATGGTTGGAGGGTGGAAAAAAAGTAACAGACTCCCCGCAAATAACCCCCACGTTGTTGCCGGTAGGCGTGGCCCGGATGTATGGTGATGGCAGCGTTCGACCAATGGGGATTCCTCGAGCAACCCCGGCCTCGGCCAGCTTGGTCGAATGAAAAAATATTGACCGTGGCGAGGGGGGTATTCTGCGGTCCATTTGGGGGTTGCGGAGGTGAAACACAACGTCGGACTGATTGCCGAACGGAGTGGCGAACGGTGTGCGGGGGTGCCGGGGTGGGGGAGAGGGGAGGGGGGGGAAGGGTGCTGGATACCGCCGGGTGAATACCCCCCTCGTCACGTACGGGATCATTAGCCGGATATCCTTAGTCCTGCTCGCCAACCCTCTCTGATAGCGGTGATCCTCGTGCCTGACATCATTATCCTGGGACGCCGTGCAGCGCCAGCGCGGCGAGGCCATCCTTCGAGGCCATCCCTCGTCGTCGTTCCAGTTCGGCTCCTCGTGTTTTCGCCCTTCTCTCCCGTGTGTGTTTGTCGATGTCGCGTTTCGCCAGCAAACCCCGATAGTCGGGATCGTTCGCACGCTCAGTGATGTCGGTACGGTTCTGCGATCGTGTTGCCTCTCTGTGACGTGGACGTGGACGTGGACGTGGACGTGAACGTGAACGTGGTGGATAGGAAAAATTTATTGGCAAGCAGGTACGAGCGACAAGACCTGAAAATCTTTGGACCGATTTCGAGAAATATGGACGATTCGTGGCGTGGTTCACCAACGTAAAATCTCTGGCGAATGTCGAGACAATCGACAGAGACGCTGTTTGACATGAGAGCAGTTGGACACTGAAGTTTGATTTAAAGACGTTGAACTTGGAGGCGCATAAAAACAGCAGTGTCTTGGACAGGAGAGTATGGAGCCGAACGACCCGTCGGGAAGACTGACCGTCGAGGATCTGTCCGACTGCAGGAGCGAGAGCAGTCACTCGGAGAGCCAGTTGAGAGCGTTCCAGGACTACGAGCGTATCAAGGAGCTGAATCTGTCTGTGGAGAAGTCGAAGGAAGATCCTCCGATCGAGCCCAAGGACTTTCACCTGGGCCTGGCCGAGCCTGGCCGTACCTCCATTCGTTCGTCGTTCGACGAGTTCGAAAGTAGCAACCGAAATCTGCCGTTGCCTCTGAACAAGGGCAAGGATTTCAGCTACGTGACCGGCGGTTTGAACGAGATGGCCTATCACTTGGACAGATCGAGCGAGAACGACGAATCCCTGGATACGGCTAACCTCTGCAGGACCAAGAACGGCCCGACGGCCAAGGACTTGCTGTTCAATCTTCGCGAGAACAGGCAGAAGAACGCTCAGGCGACGTTGTCTCTCGACAGGTACGGTAAGGATTTGAACTTTGCCGTGTCGGAGAAGGACATCAAGGACTTTGGATTGCTGAAGAACTACAGCCTCGATCGCATGAAGGAGTTCAATCTGTCGTTGGACAGGATGAGGGACAGTCACATTGGCAATTTCGCGCTGGAGAGACTTCGGGGTGGAGCTGGATTGCTGGAAAATCCGCCGATCTTGGAGCACGGCGAGTTGAAGGGCATGCAGATGCAGCCGAGGAATCAGGATTTGGAGGCTATCGCGTTGGAACGTATGAGACGGTCGCATCTGTTGGGAACTGACCTCTCCGCCCAGAATTTGTCCACGCAGCTGCCACATCCGCACTCTATCACGCAAATGCAGCACTCGCAGCAGCAGCAGCAGCAACAGGCCAAGTCGTTCACCATCGACGCGATCCTCGGATTGAGGAACAACTCGAGGGAGAAACGGAGCCAGCAGCAACAGTACAGGAAGCATCAGGGTACTTGGAAACTGGATTTCCGCTTGCTTTCGTAAGGTGGTTGCATGTTGCATGAGTCTTTCTAAGATCGGCAGCGATAAGAATTTCGCGTGGAATCGTTGGATTAATTGGTTGTTCGTAGATCAGTCCTGCCTCCAACTTCACGTACATTCCCCTTGAAAACAAATGCAAACGTCTCGCGAGTCGCAAAATTCTCGTTAACCTCGAATGTAGTCGAGGAATATCAAAAGTCTCGGTGATTTTTTTTTCCATTAAATTAAACGTCGTCGAGCACTTTGTATCGTTCCTTTGCACCTCGAATTGTCTTTACTCAGAGATTTCAAAGCACGAATCTTGGATCTGACGTTCTCGATAACCTATACGAGCTTGCACCTCGAAAAGAATACATTCTGTTTTTTATTTTCTAAAGAAAAGTTGAATCGTAGAGATCAGGCAAGACGAAGGTGACGCCGAGCTTCTTTAAGAAAATTAAAAAAAATTTCCGCAATATAGAGAGAGATGTCGTGGAATGTGAAGTGTTGAATGGTATCGGGATCGTAGGTCAGGAAGGCGGGACGAAAAACGGCGGTGCGAGCTCGTGTTCCGGCGGCGGCGGCGGCGGCAAGCTGAAGAGGGTGCGTACGATCTTCACGGCGGAGCAGCTGGAACGGCTGGAGGGAGAATTTGCCCGACAACAGTACATGGTCGGGCCGGAGAGGTTGTACCTGGCGCACGCACTCAGGCTGACCGAGGCACAGGTGAAAGTGTGGTTCCAAAACCGGCGTATCAAGTGGCGGAAGCATCATCACGAGCAGCAGAGCCAACGGGTGCACGAGTTCCAGCGGTCGATGAACTCTTCGCTAGAGCACGAGGACAGCAACGAGACCGACAAATGGTGAAAGGAGTCCGCGTTCCTCGATCGAGAAGCGCCACTTCGTTTCCTCGTTTTCCCCTTGCTTCTTCCATCTTTCGATCCTAGAAACGTTCGGCTGCTCGCGCTCGGCGAGGCGCTTGGCTTGGTCGACGATTTTGCCCAGGGACGATCCTCTCCGACGCGCTCCCGCCATCTCCCAGAGGGATTCTCACCTTGTTCGTTACCTTCGACGAGCTTCTGATTCTTTCGCGACGACTGAGAGACTCGATCGGTGATCGCGAGACACGTGTGACGGGCAAGATTGCAACAACAAGGTAGAACCGTTGGTAGTTTCAAACGGAGAAAGATCTCGTAGATCTTGATCGACGAGGATATTGAACGGGGAATGAGATTCGTGTGGTTCTAAACGAAGGTTCTAATCAAAATAAAGATACGTTCGACGTGATCCAAGGAGGAAATTCGATTTCGTTGGTATTCGCGAGGTCAAACGTTGCACGTCCGATTTGAAAGGAAGACACGATCGATCGACTCGTCTTTTGCCGTTTCGATATTTGGCGTTGCATCGAAACGCCATCACACGATTTTTCAAACGAGACATGTGAATTATCGTCCGATAAGTGTTAAGTGGCAGTATTACCGTTCGGCGATTTTTCTTCTCGGACGCCGTGGACGGAGACGTTGAAATTTGAACGATGAAACAAGTAGACAGTCGCAAATCCAAGTGCGTAGCCCACTCGTATCTCGACGCAAGGGATCACCCTGATTCGTGTCGAAAGCATACGCAGAAAAAGAGTCAGTCCTTTCTGGTTAGCAAGAGCAGCAAGTGAGTATCTCGAGTCGACTTAATTTTGATTTCAAACTTCATCGTGGAAATTTCTTTGTAAATCCCTTTTCCGACAACTGAACGGCTGATCGTGTTGCAACGACTTTTACGAAAAAGTTCGACACATCACTATTCTCATAGAAATCTTCTTAAGGAATCCGGAATTGTCCTCGAGCTACTATTCCTCGCCGACCTGTTGTTACAAGCCACAAAAGAACACGTCGATTCACGACAGCGACGACGCGCCGTATCTCCAGAGAGACGTCTCTCGCTATAAACCCAACCGGGATAAACACTGCTCTGGATACTCCTTCAACGTTTCGTCGACGAGGAACACCCACTACGACGATGAGCTGCGCAACATCGACAGTTTCAAATTCACCGACGACAAATTGGGTGACCTTACGGGCCATGTGGTGGAAGACGTCGTGGAGGAAGTCGCAGGTTTTATTTCTAATAAGATAAATAAGTTCTCGCGATGGCGCGTACCAGTAAAAACAAAGAGGAGATTTACGAAATTTGGAATTTTCTTTGACAGAGGACGATCGCGAGGTGCTAGCTGAATTCTTGAACAGGGACTACGAGGAGCGAGAAGGATTCGACGAAACAGACGAAATAGACGATGAGTCCGACAGGTCACCGCAGACTCGCAGGTCTCGCAGTCAGAGAAGATCTAAACCGGAGGCATTGTTGACGAAGCAACAGCGCTGGAGAGGCGCGGAGCAGCCGGAGCCGGATACGTGGCAATTCCATTGCCAGCAACGTGTGTCTACTGTACAAAATCGTCCTCCACCCTCCAGGTAAAGTCAGAAATTTCACTCTCAATTCAAGATCGATCGAAGTTTAAACTATTTTGCAAAGAGCACTGTCGTTGGCAATCAAACGTTCAAACGAGCAGAGAGACAACTCGAAGACTCTTGTCTCGAGACGGGAGATCGCGTTTTTTGAAACGTAGTTGCGGCTAGGTATTACCACAGCGTGGCCGAGCCCGAGGAAACCGAGCCCTTATCAGAAGAAGATTTCGTCCGAACGTCGCTGAGGCGGCAACCTGCGGACTATCGTCGATGGTCGTCGCCGAGAAACGAACCTGATCGATACGACGACGTCGCGACGTCGATGCAGTCGAACCGACGAGCCAGTACGAAACCGAATGTGGACCGGCTGATGGAGTCGGAGTTGAATAGAACGAGAAGGTGCGATCGTTGCGGTAGCCTGTCCAGCAGCAAGAACGTACCGCCTTTTAAGAATACCTGTAGATTCGACGAGTATTGCGCGAGTATTCCTATCAAGGGACCAATTGGTAAGATTCTTCTTCTGCTAGTTGACTTTTGCGTCTTTTAGATGTTTCAGAACTTCTCTTCTCGTTCCTATTTCTTTTCATTTGTTTGTAAGTAAATAAAAACCGGCGAATGCCTGCTGCTTTCAGGCGACGAACCGGAAAACTACGAACAAACGTTCTGCGGCCGCTGCAACGTGAGCCACGGCTCGAACGATCCCAGCGGCATCGTCGACACGCCGTCGTCTGCGTACGCCATGAAATCGCGCAGATCCCGCGAGACAAAGTCACCGACGTTCTACGAGCTCCCGGAGCAAAGCCAGGAGAAATTCTCAAGCGATTATTCGCGATCCCCGTCGAGGTACCAAAGCAGAAAACCTGCAGACAGGTCTACGGAAAATTCGAACAGGTTGTTGCACACTTCTCGCGGCACCGCGCGAACACTTCCTCGATACGTCGAATGAGAACGGTCTCGACCGGATTCTCCGAAAGACCAAGCAAAACTACAGAAACTATTGAACTCGATAAAAGACAAAAAAAGAAACTCACGAGTCGAGTCGAGAATTCAGTCGTTGAAGCATCCCACGAACATTCTAGCAACGTTTCAGGATCGAAGAAGATTGTTCCCTCGTTTCCAGACGATTCTCGCGACTATTTTCGGATAAGGAATTCGTCCCTGTATCACTGTTTAAGGATGTGTGTGTCGAACAAGGTAGAAACAGAAGTCCATTTCGTTGTAACTCATCCACGAGAGCAACGTATCCGTGAGAGAGGATAATCGTAGAGCAGAGAATAAAAGAAAAAAAAGAAAAAAAAAATGAAGAAATTCGCTCCTAATTCGATCGTTCCCCTCCCTACTACTGGTTGTGTAATATATATTTTTGTAACTGTCCTCTCGGGTCTTGTAGATGTTACGCTGTACTTATTCGTCCGAGATTAACGCTAGTTGCACAATGTACATACGCATTAGGTGAAGTTGATTAGAGTTTGAACGTGTCCCTCAGGCGAAAACTGTTTTTGCTTTAAGTCTTCGGTGTTCGACGATCTTCTAAATGGCAATGTCACCGTTCCCTTGGCACGAAATCGACTGTATATACGAGACACCCACCGATTCTGTGTACATGTACGCGTACGTGTTTGCAAGGAGAATAAAACCTCGAATCTGTGCACCGAGCCCCAGTCTACTTTACCTTGTCCTCGTAGCATTTCTCACACATTGATCTCCGTAGACTTTCGTAGAGTAGAAGGATGATCCTGCCATCTGAAATTGAAAAAACTTTGCACACTGCTGTTTTTTTTTTTTTTTTCTTTTTTAATTTAAAGAGGTTTCCTACGACTCGACCAAAAAATAAAAATTCAAATGACAATTGAAGAATTGAAAGCAATGGGAAAAGTACATACCGGGAACAGACTGGTTCCCGAGTTAAGAACGGCGAGGGTAAGAAATTCTCAAAGGAACAACAATCGTTCTGATTCGTTTTTCTCCGTGCAGCAATTGGTACTAATTAATTAGCGGCGTGTCTTACGCTCTTCTCGCGATTTTATTCGCGGCGGTAGGAGCGGGCCGCAGCTTTTTGTCGAGCCACAAAGGCGGTCGCTTTCGCCCGGGGCTTTTGTTTAAATATTAATAACGCGCGGAAACTCTGTCGCTCTCTGACCGCCGCTGGAACACCGTGCTTTGTTCAATTAAACTTAATATCTTTATTATATCGGAGAGCGACGAGAGCGGATATTATTTATTGCGGTGAAAGTCCGGGAAAACCGGACGAGGAAACTAGTTTTTCCCTCAAAGCCGCGACTCGCTCGTTTTTTTCTTTTTTTTTTTTTTTTTTGTTTCTTTTCGGCGGAACGGAAAGAGAGACGGACAGATTTTAATAATATTTTAACGATTCTCGTTGATTTTGCATGGAAAGTCCACGTCTAAATTTCCCGACAAAAATATACATATAAATCTTCTTTTTTCACTTTTTCTCTTTCTTTTTTTACTCGACAGGAACGAGATGATAAATTGCAGAGTAATTTTTTAATAACCATCGATTGATTTTGCGTGAAAATAAACAAACCAACAAGTTTGATTTATTTTCTGATCATTTTCATCAACTAAACGAATTAAGAAAGGAATAATTTGGAAAGGAAAAGACATCGAATTGGCGAAAAATGTTTCTCTGCGGGCTACAATTTAATCGATAATGTCGAACAATCGATTTACGTTTGTAATTTTGCTGCATTTGCTGGATTTCTCATTAGCGAACAATACGATATAAATGAATGGCAGATAGGTATACATCGAACGTGCTTTTCATTCGTTCAGCGATTATCGAAAACACAATTTTGAAACACGTTTGGCACGGTTCGAGCGTTTTCAATAGGAAAACAAGGTCGGAATAAGCGAAATGAATTTAACATCAATTCGATTGTGTTATTTTGCTAGAATATCAAATTTCCCCCGACAGTCTCGCGTTTTCAAGTTAGATCATATTCCCAGCAAAATATCTATACGCTTCTAATTTCTTTCTCTTCAATCGTGTTCGTCGGTTCCATAAATGTTTTTTCTCAACCTCGCACTGTCCAACAATTCTAACTTCCAAGCTTAAATTAAGTTTATTAATTAGTTATTAATTTATTAATTCAACAACGAACGTTCTCGTTTTATTCGTTTGATTTGCGAGATCACTGAAAACTCTTCTATATAAGGCTGAGAGAAAAAAAAAAAAGAACGAAACGAACAAAAACGTCGCACGAGTAAATTACTTCACTAACCGCGTTGCACAATTAAATTTAATATTTTTAAGTTGGCAACAGGCTAAACACGCGCAAAGAGCAGACAAAAATATTTCTATCGCTAGGTGGATTCGGACTTTTTTCCCCCGAGATTTCAAAACGTTTAAAAAATTGTTTACAGTTTATTCTTAACAGCAGCAGCTACTGTGTTTCCTCTCAATGTTGCACGTATCTTTCTTTTTCTCTTTTTCGATACTGAAACACTGAATTTTTATGAAACGTTGAAAATGTATATTAAAAACCTATATGCGAAAACGTAATATTAAAAAAAATATGCGTGTCTTTAACGATCGTGATATTTTTAATTAAAAGGGAATTCGTGAATATGTGCAAGTGATTTGCAGATATTTTTCAAAACATCCCGGACGAAGGAATACTGTCACGCAATTCGAAAAATGATGTTTTTCGGGAAATTGAAATCTCGGCATCGGCGAACGAGGCGAAAATACAAATGTAAATAAAATCGAGTTCTCGCCCTGCTAAAAATCTATTTCGAATGGGGATCGGCCCGATATCCATTCGTAACTTAAATAAACTAAAAGCTGTTTCGTGTATATATATATATATATATATATATATACACACACACATACACGGAATATACTAAATAAATATTACTCAGAAATTCGTCTAAAAATTTCATTCGTCCATTCTCTCCCATTCGACGAAAAAGAAAAAAAAATTCGATAATCAAACCTAAACTCTTCAATTTGAAATCTCTAGTAAAATTGCGCGATGTTTAATTGCACGTTGACCGTAAACAACTGATTAAAATAAAACTAAAAGCACAACGAAGCGTTCTCGCGTTGAACGTGTGATAAGTATTTTTAAATGACGACCAATAATCTCCAACATAATTATATACGGCGATAGCCTAGCCGGCAGGCATAAACGTCGAAAAGGAAAAAGAAAAAAAAGAAAAAAAAGCTCCCTATTCCCCTGACGAGAATTGAATGCGTTTTCCGAGACGAGTGTCAGTGAAACAATTTCTAAAGGCTCGACAAGTTGGTGATGCTCAAACGAAACGAAACGAAAGAAACGAAACGAAACGAAACGGTGTACAACGAGAGGGAGAGTTCATCTCTCTTTCTTTTCTCTCGGTCTCGTTGCGAGCGACGAAAAGGCCACGACATTCGCGTCAAGATTGACGATTTAATTTAAGAATCCTCCATTCACCAACGTCTGCCCACTGTTCGCCAGAAATACGCGTGCGCTCACTTTCCTACCCGGCGCAAAGAGCGACGCTGAAAAATGCTGAAATACCCAGCTCGAGCACCACTGCTCCAGACTACCTATACAGATCCAGAGTGCATCTTAAATCGAAGTTTACACTGAAAACATTTATCGCTAACCTTTCTCGAGGTTTAAAAAAAAGAAAAAGAGAAAAATTACCAAGGTATTTTAAACTAGGAATATTTCTGTATCTCTTGTGCCTTTCAGTCTATTTCTTTTTTTTTTTTTTTTTTTTTTTTTTGTTTCTTGTTTCGGTGGATCAAACGCCAGGAAATTAAACGTCGCGTATGGTTTCAAATTTATGCAAGGAAGTAAAATATTTAAAGAAAATAAAAAGTCATTAATAATTTTCTCAAATTTGAAACATTTGATCGAACCGATTATTTTAATCTAAATTGGAAATTTAACTACGTGACAGAATAAAAGTAGAAGTATTGAATTTCATATTGTTTTCTAATTGAAGTACTATTTTTTAAATACTTGTCGATCAAATTTAATTAAACAATAAGTCGAATTACGTTGTTGCGCGGTAAAAGCATCGAAAAGTTTCGTTAAAAAGAGTTGAGCAATTTAAAATTCATTAAAAAAAAATTAAGAATGGGTAATGTCCAAAGACATTTTTAAATTGTAAAAGTTATTAAAGTGAAATCTCTCTATCTATCTATCTATCTATCTGTCTGTCTGCCTCTCTCTCTCTCTTTCTCTCTTCTGATTCACGAAGCCAAGTAGCGTAAGCAAATCGAACGTCAGCCGTCAGTGAAACGAGCAGAAAATTGTAATCGTCGCGGGGGACATCGCGTTTCCATCGAGCAACGAAATTCCGTGATGGAAAAATCTGACGCGGGTGACGTTGGTAACTAATATTCGCTCGTTACGTGCAGCCCTTTTGTCGGCATGATAAATTAGCCGTCGACCCATGTCAAAGGGCCACAAAGAAAGCAAACCTTCGATGGAGAATCGTACGGACTTCGCTATCAAGCTGGAAACATTGGCGATATCGATCGGGAACGAGAAATATTCCGTCGTCTAATCTGTTTGTCAAATCGGCTTTCGTTCGATACATCGTTCTTGTCTCCATTAGACAATGATCGTTAATAGAGTCGTCGGTTAATTCCTTCGATCGGTGGTAAGTCGACGGTAAGTAAGAAATTTCACGTTCCTGAAGCGCGTCCAGCGTTCAAATTTTGCTTTTGAAATATTTGTGAAACAATCCGTGAAACTTTTCACAGATTTTACTTTTACGACATTGAACAGAAAATGGTAAAAAAAAAAAAAAAAAAAAAAAAAAAAATGGTCAAGAGAAAGAAGACGCGATCTATTTCGCAATGATACTGACAGCCTAGGACAAACCATTACGTTACGTATAGGAGAGTCAGGTGTATCGAATGGTATCGCAGGTGTGATAGAAGCAAGATTATTTCGCGGAAGGAATCACGACGCCGGCAGATATTCGCCGCGCGAGAAAGCAACAAAGAGGGAGAGAAAAGAGCGGCGGAGGTGATAAGCCTCGATATCTCGAGCTACACCCCCTCGGCGCTAGATATAAGCTCCGCCTATCCCTGGGGTTACACCGGTACTTCCAAGAACCCCCTGAAACCCACCACCCCCGTGCAGAGGGGGTAACCCAACCCACGGTGTTCCATCGTCGTTGGCATCCGCGGCATTCCAATTAGCTCGCGAATCAAAAGAGCCCCACTGCCTTTGTGGGGTCTCACCCCCTATCCCTGCTAAACTGTCTCCTTTCCTCTTCCACCCCCGTCTGGCTAAACGTCGCTTCTCTTTCCGGCCACCTCGTATCGCTCTTCCTCTTTCTCACGATCGTTCCTTTCTTCCTCCTGCTTTCCGACTGGTTACTGCCCGGAATCTCTCTCTCCTCTCTCCCTCTCTTTCACATACGCGTACACCAACACGTGGAGGGTGCATATGCTTTTTTTTCCCCCCCTCCTCCCGAGCTACGCTACGATACATCCTATGATTCTCTTGTGTCCTTCGCTTCGGCAATTTTTTGGAAAACGTAGAGGATTTTGTGCGGACAAAAGCGGCGGATTGGTTGATTTTGATTTTTACATTTTGCGTTTTATATTTTTAATGACACGGCTGTACGACGGAAGACTGCACACGAAGGTGCTCCAAATGACGCGAGAAAGTTAAACGGATAAAGTTAAAGAGGGTCGATGACGATTACCGGTTGGCGATCGGTAATTTCCTGGTGAGTGGTTAGAGCGGCGGTTAGACCTTCGCGTGTAGAGCACTACGTATGTAACGTTGTTCAGTTAATTAGCAATCAGATGGATATTCTAATTTTACCGCTATTTTAATTATTTTGCCCGCTGTAAATTACGTAACTAATACCTTCATCTTCTCCTTTATCCTTCCTCGATTAAATTGCTCGATTAAATTATACCCTGCAAGAAGAAATAATAACAAACGTGATCTTTTTTCTTTTTCTTTTTTACTTCAGATAAAACATTTAAATATCCCTGTCGCGGGACTAGACAGACGAAATATCGAAAAATCGTTCGTTATAATGATTGAATCGAGCGGCGCTCGAGCCGTTACCCCATCGAGCCTAATAAAATTACAAATATTTGATCGGGATTGGTCGGGTGCTCGTGGCCGATTTAAAAATCCACGTTTAATAACGCGCTTCGGAGCTGCGCTTTGACATAATTCCGCTGTTACATCGATCTCCACCGGCCCGGTTTTCAATCGTTTTCCGCCGCTCGAGGACGCTCGAGCGTCCATGGCGCGGCAATTAGCGAAAAAATGCCGTGTAATAATTCCGCGCGGCGGGCGCACGGCTCGATGAAAAAGAGAGCAGAGTTCTGTTCGCTCGAACGTTGAAATCCTTAGCGAGCGTGGATTTTAATCTCGAATTCGTCCCGGCGAGCGGCGAGCGAGTACTCCAAATAAAAAGAACTTTGGTCAGAGAAGGTTGGCGGATCCCAAAAGGGAGAACGGAAAATTAAAAAAAAAAAAGAAAAAAAAAAGAAGGAAAGAAAGAAATATCGCGTGGATTTATGGAAATCGGTCCACGCACGCACGCGTCTCGCGGGGGTGTGCGGCTCACGTTTACGGAACACCGGGACGATTTTAATATCCGCGAATGATAAACAAAGTGGTATCTAACGAAGTGGATAAAGGCGCGCCGTAATAAAATTTGTGTTGCCGCTTCGTCGCGGCCGGCCGCGGGGAACGTCACGAGCGGTTTCCTCCGATTTCAATTAGCCCTGGCGACCCTAGCCCTGCTCTCTCTCTCTCTCTATCTCTATCTCTCTCTTTCTGTCTGTCTGTCTGTCTGTCTGTATAAGCGCGTCCGTGTACATGTAGATCTCGTTTTCAGGAGAGAAACGAGCTGACCGGCCAAACCAGTGGACGATCTCTTTTTCTTTCTTTCGGTATTCGTTTGTTCTTTGATTTGACAAGGGGAACTGATGCCGCGTAAACTTCGACGAGATTTCGACGTGGCAAGAAATTTACTGCGAATATGCGATTTGGATTTTTATTTGAACACGAGAGAACCATCCCGAATTGAATTCGAATATTCACAGGCTTTTTGTTTAAATTTTCTTCTCGAAGACTCGGGCTTGAAACGATAAAGAATCCGACATTTGATGAATCATTTTATATCCGTACGTTTTCAAAGGGAAATTTCAGAGATCCGCATAATATCGCGAAAGATACGGCTCCCTAATATTTCGTTTATTACGAATTTTTCAAACGGCAAAGGGAATAATTGCAGCGCTGCGTAGGAGGCCGTGATCGTGGAATATGTCGGTACGATCAAAGAACATTCCTACGCGCGAAACATGCGAGCAAGCCGCGTTAGATTCATATCGAACCAGTGACTGAATCTGTAATGGGCATAAGCGAACAATCATTCAATCATTTTACTTTGCACGCTTCGCGTTTCGTTATCTCGCCGCAATTGGACGGTTGTTTCGTAACTCTCGCTGCAGAGAGATTTGCTTACCTCGGCAAATTTCTTTCAATGGCAATTTCTAACTCGCGACAGCGGACAAGCTGCTCGTCTCGGGCTTGAAAGCTTCCCGCGAAAGCAAACTCAGGGCTCGCAAACAGCGATACGCAAATTAATTGAATCAATTTACACGGAGTAGCAGAAAGAAGCAATTAAGAAGTGGAAGAAGAGGAAGACGCAGCATAAAATCCGCAAAGCGGAAGATTATTGCGCGTCGTTCAACGATCGTGGAAGAGGCAACAGTGGCCCCGCTCCAATTAACGTTGTAGATGCGATAACAAGTGGCCCCCTGTGTTTAATTTATCGTACAACGAAGCGACAAATTGCAATATTCTTCCGAGATTCGTTGTCCACCGTCACCGAACAGCATGACCGATGCTTCTGTTATTAAGGGGCCGAGAAGCATACAAATATTTCCGCTACGATTAGTCGTCGACGCCGTCCAACTGCACCTGCATCTCTGAAACCCGACAACCATACATCATAACTTCGATCACGGGTCCCGCCACCGCGCGAGAAGCTTCAATAACGATGCAATCTCATTCAGACGCTTCCTAGTGGCAGCTACGAACAAGCAGGATCGCTCACGTTCCCGAAAACAAGATTGAAGGTTTTCGCGAGCAAGGAGATTTTGCAATGCCAGCCTCAAAAATTGGACTATCGTTACAACGCGCTCTTGTATCTCGTGCTGTTCAGTTACACCCTCTTTGAGAAAAGTAATACCATCTCTGGAAAAATTGAAATACTCCACAAAATTATTGAATTTTATTGAAATTATTTCCAACGGAATTATTATTTCTTATTGCTTTCTTCATATATTTGTATGTACGGTTGTGCCATTATTAGGCATTTTCCAGAAAGTGGAGTTTCTCGCCGTTTATAGCCGTCGCTAATCGCGACCACGAATATACATGTCGTAAAAAGCATAACCGCTTTGGTAGAACGGGGGATATACGCAGAGGGGTTGCGTACAGCTCGCATTCATAACATCAGACGAGGTAATAAAAGTCACCACTCCCTGCCGCTCTTTCTTCTACATCCCCCACTTTCGGAGAACTGGAGGGATCGTAGAGGCACGTAGGTGAATCAAAAAGCGACGAGGGAGCAACAACGCGGACCTACGTTATCGCGTAATATCGCGTAACGTTCTCCGTCCACGAATTTTTCTCTCAGACAAGTCTCTATCTTTTCTGTACCTACATGTACGCAGATTATCTGTGCACGATATATTTAATGCGATAAAGTCTCGAGATGATTCTCGAAAGAGAATCTTCTTTTTCCCCTTGAATTCTGATGAAACGGATCATTTTGTTTCTCTGTCTTCTCAAATATTCTCAAGTTCGCGGTCAATTTCATCCTGAAAATGCACACGATTTACGCCTTGTCATTTACGATGCACGAAAGCCGATCAAACCGACGCATCTGTAACGCGATGAACGCGTTAACAAGCGCAGCAAAGCATCAGGAATTTTGCGTGGATTCATTAAACATTTCTTGTGCGCGCGAGGGTGCCGGATCAAAGGTCAGCCAGCATGTTGCCGTGGCCGATTAAAGGGAAGGACGATCGTATCTTCGACAGTCACTTTGTCCCTCGAACGCGATCCCCCTTGCTTAAACTACTCGTCCACCATCCCCTTTATCGAGACACGGGGGTCAAGTGTTTCCAGCCACTTAAACGCGCCGCGAGGACGGGGAACGCCATTGAAAGAATCGCAACTATTTCATTTCGGAGACAGATTAGACAGATTAGCGACCGACGATACGCCGTTTAGAGCCTGCCGGTTATGCGACTGAATTCCCCACGAGTGGGCTCGTCCGAGAGAATATTATTTTTTCCCGAAATCGCTCGAGCAATTTTTCCGTGACCGTTTTCTTCTTTGTGTTTTCCCTTCGTGCGTCGTGCAATAATAAATCCATTCGTGTCGTGATTTTCGAACGATTCTGTGAAAAATCTGAGGAAAATTCCAGTTAAGTTTCTCTCTGTGATTGCAGTTTTTTTTTTGGAATTTTCTTCGCTTGTAAGGACAGCGAGTGTTGTAAGAAATTTTTAGTAGAAAATAACATTTTTTCTAAATTTAATTGCAAAACCTCGATTATTACCGGGATCGATAATTATTTTATTTGAAATACAGTCAGTAATTTTATTCGCAAGTGGAATGTAATGAAACGTTAATCGATATGTTAATTGCAAATGATAATTTCAAAATGTAAAATACGGGACTATTTTCAAACGTGTGCTCGTTGTGATATTCGGCAATTAGCAATACTTAAGTGTGTGTGTGTGTGTTAATTAAGTACCCCTTTGAACTCGTGATATCTTTATCTACTAGCAAACCTTTTGTTTCGGACAAAGGGATTAAGCCGAAAATCGGATTTGAACGTTTAATTTAGAGCAACGGTTCGCTTCAAATGTATCCAGAGTATAAAGACTATCAACCTTCGATAATGAATGGTTACCTTTGATGAAAGAAAAACACGTAAATTGCAACGTTTCGATAATTAACACGCGATTTTCGTTTTCCAATACTGGTTTCTTCCTCTTTCATTTATTTATTTATCTATTTTTTTGTTTATCGAATCACTATTGTTTAACGAGTTTCGTTAAACGAACAATGGGATACAAACAAGAGTAATCTACGTTCTAGTTTGAACGGGACTATTTATACTGTTTTCAAATCGCCAGCGTTTTCCCGCACATTTTCAAATTTGAATCTTCGCGATACGTATATACTAAAAAGGGCACATGTATCATGTATAATTATTTTTTTTATTGAGAAAATATAAAATAAATGTTCTCCTCGTCTTTTTTCGTTTTCTTGTTTCTCCATCATTATTATTTAATAATTTTTCTCCATAACCAATCCTAACTGAAACCATCAGCGCCATCTTGGTTAATTCACCGCGTTTTGAAATCGTTGCAACGGGAGTTTCTCCGCGAGTTATATTACGTTTGTTATTTGTGTATAGAAATAGAAAAACTTCAAAAATAGCGAAGTACAAAATGGATATATATTTTAAATATTCTGTAACATACAAAAGTTTACATTCACGGCAGTTTCGCTAAATTACTTCGTATGAATATAACGTGCATTGCCTCACTGTAAGTAACGATTTTTTAAAATATAATTTTGTAATATTTGAAGAAGCTTCGCCAATTAAGCAGCCTCTTAATTACGTGAAATAATTTTTATCGAAACGATATATGCGAATTCTTTTGTTTTTCAATCTCATTTCTTAATTTGCGAAATCATACTACCAACATATATGTATGTATGCACGTATACATATAAATTATCACCAAACATTAATTAATTTGTAATTTAATGAATTATACATTAATCTAACTAAACAATAAGATTGCCTGTGTTTTCAACTAGAAGCTTATATAGCTTAAAAGTCAAAGCATTGTAAAAAGCATATTTGTCAATTATATCAAGACTTCCCATTCTTCATTCCTAAAATTGAACCAAACAGTTCTGCTGTTCCAAAAATGTTTGAAGAAACTTTTAATGATAGATTTGTCAGAGTAAAAATTTCAATAATCAGATTATTGTCATAAAAGAACTAAAACATGATAAAATATCAATCACAAACCAAAGTAACTTTGTATAAAGCTATAAATCATATTTAATAAATAAATTTATTCGAAACAAAACAAATCTTTTTGGTAAAAGCTCTGCTATTATTATAAGTTTCTGCAATTCTGATAATTACATGTTTAATTCAAAAATCACAGCATCTTTAATAGCTAAATACATAAATAGACATTTATCTTTTATACTCTAAGCAGTATGTTATGCATTGCAATGCAAAATATAAATATAATTAATCAATTCATTTATGTAATTAGAAAATTGACTGTATATGTCAGATAGTTGAAAATAATATTCATTTACATTATTATTGAAAAGGCATAGAAAATAATTTTTATAACTTTTTAGTATTGACATTTTTGCTTACCTAGATTAGCTATGGTCACGTAAAGCGAAAAAAGCACTGTATATAAAAGAGTGTAAAAAACAAAATTTCAATTTCCATGTGTTCATTTCATCTGTTTAAAAGAATTAACTATTCTTATGAGAAATAATACTATCATCTTATTATTATCAAAAAGTCTGATATATCAAACAAGTTGTCTTTTTCTAATTACTCGACTAGTAATTATTTTCAATATAGTCTTAATTTTACTTTACATATGAACGTAGTATTAAATTGTCTTATATTTTTAAACTGTCAAAGACAGACATTCTGTATAGCAGGTCAAAATGCTTCATCATTATAAAAATGAATGAATGTAAATACAATATATATATACCTATATAAAAGCACATGCTGATATTTTTTGAACATTAAATACTTGTATCACTGATCTTTGGCAAATGTTAATCAGTAGCATTCAGTCACTTTACCAACGTGGTGAAGTTGATGGCATGCTTTGTTGAGTTGCTAATGAAGGCCCACTGTAACAAAGAAACAAGAAAAATAAACACATCACAAAAGGTAGACTAAGCTATTAATTATTCCAATTAAATTTTTCATACCTCCATGCAATAAGAGGTGAAAGTCTTTCCGTTAATCTTTGGTAATTTCTTTCCAATTCTCTTTGATAGTCTCTTTGATCTGGTCCAATCAGATTTTTATTTCTCCTCAAAGCATCCAGACATTTCTTCGAGAAATCCTTGAAACATAGGCGTAATTTATGTTGCAGCCTAGTGGGCTGTGCATTTTGTTCCCTTAATCCAGAAAGAAACACAACTGCAACCTCTGCAGGACCTTGATTAACTGTTGTTCCAATGCAACCTTGAAGAACCATTTGCAGCATCTTTGCATCAGGTGGTTCTTGAGCAGTGGCTGCTGCAACCTGATTCAATCGATTTATATAAACGTAGTTGATTTATAAAAATAAAGCTACATCATCTCTCAAGAACACATACACACCTCTGCAGTTTTCTTTTGTATGTCTTCAATTGCAACTTCAATTGGACTTAAAACTATTTGCTTTCTAGCAACCACGCGAATTCTTGTCTTTAAGTAAGGAAAATGCGTAGCTACTGTCAGAATGGTTTTACGTTTGCATTGTTCTCTCAATTCTCCATGAGCCTTACCACCAGGTGTAAATGGCGTTGCATATACAAATCGTTCTAAACATAATTTAAGACGGCAGGATAAAGGAAAAATTAATTTATTAGGAAATTACTGAATGTTCTTTAGAATAGTATACTTACTAATATTAAAATTCCTATGAAAAATAGTTGGTCTATGCCTGAGTTCATGTGGCTCGAAATACGGCTCCACATATGTAATCTGGACATACGCTTTATCCGGTTCTAACTTACTGGAATCCACAGGGTTCGAATCTTTTATTATCACAATGTTCTCCGCGCCAAATCGTTCAGCATAGAAGTTTTCGAGTCTTGAAAATATCTCTGGTAACTTCGTCAGAGTAGGTTCTTTGTAAACAAACTCCTCACCAGCAAGATCACCAAAACGGCCACCATAGAATCCCACTCGAAAATACGTTCCAAATACTCGTTTTCCCGCTAGTTGTTCTACTCGTGTGTATGCTTCATGAAGTTTCCTGAAATCAGAAAGAATCGCAAGTCAACATATAAATTGATAAATTTTCATATTAAATTCCTCAAAGTATGAGAAACATTATACCCATGAATATTGGCCAGTTTTTTATAATCGTGTGCAGCTTCTGCTATTGGAAGCAACACCTTGTACACGTCAGGGATGGCTTCATACATTCCAGCTGTATGAAAAGAGCTGGCAGCATGTTCCAGCAAACCAGCTAAACCACTTTCTGAGAAGTCTGGTCCTAAACATAAACCTTCCTCTCTTCTTGCCAGTACGTCATCACCTACTGCACTCTCTTCTAATGCATTTGGAGTAACAGGAGCTAAAGCAACTGCTCCTACTGGCCGTCCTCCACCTCCTGGCTCCAAAAGGTGTAAATATTCTGCTACCAAAGCAGCACTATGCACTAAACACATAGCTGCCTCTGTGTGATTTTTTCTTTCCATGTGCTGTTGAGCCATATTTGCCAGCCATGTGAGTCTAAGATCTGGTGAACCTTGATATCCCTTTGCAATTCTGTAAAATTGTTATTATTTTTGATTCAGTGTTCTTTGTATCTCATATTTTGTTAGTACTTTCTGATCTAAAAGTAATTACCTGTACATAAGGTCTAAAAGCATTTCTGGATCCTCCTGGAATTCCTTCATTTTGACAGTATCGGACAGTATCATGTGCAGATTAAACAAAAGATCCTTCACTTGTTCTGGGAAACTTGTGTCTGCTAGTTCTGTATCTCTCTCAGCATACACCAGTACTGTTTTCAACGCTCTTCTGAGTGCTCCTTCGCTAGGAGCCCTTCCTCTTCCGACAAGGGCTGATAAGGACGTCGTGACTTGCATTTTAACTCTGGCAAAGTTCTAAAAATATTAAATGAGTTGGTTCATTTACAAAGTAAATTGTCATAGATCTATCAGTCTACTACTGAGATATTTACATTGCCAATTTCGAAATTTTGCCTCATTAATAGATAAAGACTGGCAGCAGCATGACTGCGGATAGCACTTAAAGGTGAACTGCATCTAGTGAGTAATGTCAAACACAGATCGCCGCATCTTTCGCTTTCCTCATCAAACAGAGCACTGTGATACTTGAATACCAAAGCTCGCTGAGTGTTAAACATGTGTTGTAGCACGGATGTGCTCTGATTTCTTGCTAATGCTCTCAAAAGCACTTTTAATACAGCTCCTACAACTGCACCTACAGAACATAAAAATTTTATAAACATACACGTACAAAATGTGTAAAAATGTTGCATAAGTGAACAGATATGCCACCTCCTCCTCCATCAGCCTGGACAACTGTTTCCAAAGTGTCCAGAACCACTAAAGAGGCTTCCGCTGCTAAGGCACCTTCTATATGAGCATCTTGCTCCACAGCTCTTCCCTCCGATTGTTCGCAAGATCTTAAACGGGAAGAAATTAGTCACAAAATTATTCAATTTCTTTAAATTTTCGTACTAACGTTTTCCTACCTGTAAGGCATCTGATCTTTACGCCATCTAAGTTTGTCCCCGCTCATTCTTTCCTTTCTTCTCAACATCATCTCGCTTCTGGCACTTCCCTGACCAAGAATCACATCCTCCAATCTAGATCGAATATCGCTTGTGGCCGCAGCCTGCGGTGGTAGTCTCTTCAACGCTTTTTTCCCTTTGTATTCAAAAGCCGCAGTGGCAATGTTGAGAACTTGAAGGAGACACAGTATACGCCTGGAGCTTAACTCCGAGCACCACTGTGCTAAGGCAGACTGTTCCAATCCCTTGAGCACCCACAAGACACACATTAAGAGATGTCTCGTAGCCTCTGAACTCAAAGAAACTCTACACTGAGTTCCTGCCGTCTCCGCGGAAACTCCACCCGCTATAGCTAAAGCCACAGACTGTGTAATAGAACCAGACTCATCGGGATAAACACTCTTGTCCTTCGAATCCCAGTGATAGAGCTGCGGTAGGGCATCCATTATAATGTTCAGAAGTGGTAGATAGAGAGCGGCGACTCTGGCTTTCGCGGCAGGATCGGAATATCGCGAATCAACGTCATGGCACGCCATTAGATGTCGGATGGTCCCAATGGCTTTGTTTTGAAGCATAGGATTCGGTATCTCTAGAGTGTTCGACAAATCAGATAAAACAATTCCTACCAAAAAGTGTTGCTGTCGAAATTCTTGACTGAGTTCGGAAAATCTGGCTCGATCTCCCGGTACTAAAGTAGATATTAGGCTACCAGAGCTACCAGTCGACGGGCTGGGTGAAGCTGGTGCGGATCCCGACGTGTATCCGGTTCCAAACGGCAGATTCAATGCCACGTAATGCTCGTGAGAGCATATTGTTCGTACGAGGTCTAATTTCAGCGCGTAAAGTGCTGCTGAATCTGGAATGTGCATAGAGGCATCTGACAGAGAGCAACAGGCAGCACGAACCAAGGACAAAACGAATCCTCTATCCATCACCGACAGTAGATCAGAAAGAAAATTGCCCAGGCTCGAGGTCAGATTATTAGGCACTCTGTTCTCCTTTCCGCAACGTGAAATCACTTCTGATGTTAACGCCGCAGTGAGTGTAGCGATGTCGTCGCAGAATTGCGGGGAGAACCTGGACTTTCGCGGAGCCTCCAACATCCCTATTTCCGATAATGTTACAACCATAGAACGAACGATCAATTCTAAGAAGAACCAAGAATATGTAACAGCCAATTCTCGGGCCTGTCCTGTAGATACAACCCAGTGCAACGCCAGCTCTTCGTGCAGAAGTCTTCTGGTAGGCTGGCTATTTATGGAAGGTGATTCTTGTCGCATCGAGGCAGTTCGATCCAACCCTCTGGAATGCACCTCCATTTCTAGATCTTCTAGAGGTAAGTCAGGATTGCTCTGAGCCCGCACGATGCCAGGAGCGTGCGTCATTCGTGGTAAAGAGCATTGATAAGCGACGTAGGTAGCCAGAAGGGCGTGTCTCCCGTGAGCATCTAATTGACCATCAGGCAGATTGGTAATATTTCGTACCAACAAACCTATAGCCTCGAACACCGTAGCTGCCACGTTCAGTGGCTGGGATGGTAATGTTGGCGGTCGAACCAATAGGGATATTAATTGATCCAACAATTGAGGTAGCGATCGTACTAGAGCAGAATGCGATGCTCTTGCCAATTCCAGTAAAGCTGATTTTAATTCCGATTCCATTCCCGCTTCGCCGATGCGTGGGGGCACTTGGCCGGTTTCCAAGAAACCACACAGCGATAGGAATCTGTCAATGTATTTGTCTTGGGGATGAACACTGGAGACTGGTTCCAGAATTACGGTAAAGACACCTCTGTGAGCGTCCACCCATCTTGTACCGGGCAAAAGAACATCGGGTGCAATGTACGAGTAGTTTGCTGGCGGTGGGTCCAGCATTGCCGGTAGACTGAATTCGCCTGATTGTAGATGCCCATCTCTCAAAAGTGGCAGCCATGTGTACGCTACAGCAGTCTCGACGTTCGGTTGTTCTACCTTCTTTTGACAACTGATATGATAAAACGTAAACAGCAAATGATGCTTTGCACTCAAATCAGCGGGAAGTCGGATTTTCACTTCGTCGTAAAAGTTTGGATTCTTATTGTGATAGGAGACAGATGTGAAGCACTCGTGAGTCATTTCGGGACAGGATGATCTTCCGAAAATGGCCGTGAGCGCATCAGCCTCCTGTTCGCCACCCATGAGTTGAATTCTCACGGCGATGTTTCGTGCAGAACCAGTTCTTGAACTGAAATTTGCTTCTTTTGGATAAATGTATAGAAGATTGCGGTACGTTAAATCTGGCGAAATGACTTCGCTTGGAAATTCAAGTATCTCTTTAACTGGTCGACTCTTTTCGTCAGGATATGGCATTAGCCTTCTCAGATCAGGATCCAAGCACCTGGGCAATTCTTCGGGCCTAGGGCTAAGATCCAGTTTCAATATACCTGGTAGGCATTTTAGTCGTTTCAAGTTAGAACCAGGTCTTCGTAGTTCGACTAGAAGTTTGTATAAATCTTCGTCTCTTAGTCGTTCACTTTCTTGTTTAAAGAAGCTTGAAACAGTCAATGTGATGGGTCTGAAAAATTAGACGCGTAATTTAGAATGTAAGAACATTAAACATTTGTGTATAAAATAATTGTAGTTAAATTGTAAAAATATATACCTAAATGTATCAAGACAATTTGCAAAGTCGTCCGGCGACCAGCTACGTCTTTTATCCGAACTTCTTCTTTCTAACGATCCTCTTCTAGCAGGTGGTTCCACTTTTTTACGCCACTGTTCTAATCCGCCTGATTTCCTGTCCAAAGACCCAGCACTTCCTGTGCTATCTGTATCTCCACCACCTCCTATTACGCCAGAAATGTGAATGGCAGTCCACGCAAGTGGCATTCTGTATCGACCCAAACGCTCACAAGCAGCTGCAGCAGCTGCTCTCACCTATTTTGAATTTAATTTTTTTAATTTAATTTCCATATCCGCTATATTTAGAATTTAACAATCTGTGGATTGTGTGATTACTTTTTCTTTATTTTTATCTTCCCGTAAATAAGGTTCAGCACATTCTGAGATATCACCTTGTAATACTTTCTCAAGTCTAACAACTAAAAATAAGTCTGGACTAGGCTTGCTGATACTCATAACACAGCTTCTCGCCAAGGTGCTGGCATCACTGTACGCAATATGACCACCAAGCATTCTCTTTAAACCTTCTGAATTCATATCTACATAAAAGTTTTCGGATACCTGTAGATTCAAAACATATTAAGAAAAGAAAGTGTTGTATATCTTCTAAAATTTGCCATCTTCAAATACCTTCTTCTTTTCTTTGGCATCATATAAAGCTAAACTTGCAAAAATAGGTTCAACCTCCAATTCCAATTTCAGTTGGAGACACTTCACAAGAATTTTGTGTGAGAAAGGTTCTGTAGGTTCTGGCGCTATACCAATCTCCTGCCATTCATCATCTGGAGAAGCTGGAGGTGCATACAGTGGGAATAATGCTTCCTAAAATTAATATCACGTTAATGTTAATATAAAGAATAAAATTACCAAAATCTTATCACATGCACATATAAACATAGTACTTACTTGACGATCTTCTGATCGTTTTTGTTCATTCATTTGATCAATGGTCTCTGGACAAACTCTGTCCAGCAAACTTGGAAGAAGAGGATCATGTTGTGAATGCCTTAAATCCAAACTTGCCCAGGATCCTCTCGGTGTGTCTCCACAATTAGATAAATCCTCTTCTTCATTTGGTGATCCTGAACCATTTGTATCCTCTTGATCCACCTATTTTATATTTGATTTAAATGTGTTTCTCAATTGTATGGCATACATATGTATTTTATCTTTACTCGAGCACCTCAAAATCTTGTCTTGGAGTATCTTGAAGAAGCCTGTCTCTCGCTATGGGAGAAACTCTACGTTTATATTTTCTATGTACTATTACCCAATCTGAAGTAAAACTTTCAATACATCTTCTGACGTAAGGAGATACCGTATCCCTAAAAGATTTAATAGAATTAATGTGAATACCAAAAACAGTGGTTTTATTAGTTATAAGACAAAACAAAATTTTACATAGATTCATGAGGCACAACTGGCTCCTCCGTTTTAATTTTTCTTTTCACAACTTTTAATTCAACATCCCCAGGTGGGAAATCTAATATTGATTTAAGAGGATCACGGTCAAGAACTGACTGATGTTGAGCCAAAAATTCTTCATAGTCTAGAGGCTCTAACACCTCACACAGTGACATCTTTAAAATATTTTTATTAATTACATTACTGTGTGAATCACAACTTATGTAGACAAATTGCATTTTGGGATGTACCGTGGAAGAAAAGCCTGAAAATGAACTGCCACTCTTTGACAGATCACGTGAATACGAGGTAGAGGTAGCAATCTGACGTCTAACATCAGCTGCATGCTGTTTACTCAATTTCTGAGTAAAAGCCCGCTGTACAGATGACATTATAAATGCCGGGGTAAAGTACTCCTTTGATGAAATCCTAGACATTTGTTGAAAATTGAAAATCAGACAGAGTAAATAGAGTAACTAATATTCTAATATTAATTACAACATTAAGAGATAAATTTTTATTGTAAAGTATTAAAAATTGAACTTATCTTAATATATTTTTATCACTAATTTATTAACTAAGATCACACTTTGCAACATTGCAATACTCAAAAATCAGTATAATTGGTACTATTATAATGAAAAACAGAACTATACTCACGTGACTTTGTGATTACTGAAAGTCCATTATGTAAAAATTATAAACACTTTTAAGTCAATATCTTAATATTTTGACAGTTCTTATCACAAATCCTTATTACATCAGGGATGTGCTTTTATCAAGCCAAAATTCCCATTTATACCATAAAAGTACATTATAGAGAGGAAACTACTCCAAAGAGTTTGAATCTGGTCTATCTAATATTTAGAGCTGTCGAAAAACTAAGGATAGACATTATATTATGCCTGATTATTCTTTTTCTTATAGTTGTTGCAAAAATATCTTAAAAAGTTAATTTAATATGACTCAACAAGATTATCTTAATAAACTTTCTCAACATTATATTTTTTCCCACATATAGTAATAACGTCAATTTTTGTGACTTAACATTTATTTTATCTCTAAATTTTTTTAGAACATTGACAAATAATCTGTGAATTTTTCAAAAAATTAAAAGGTGTGTTCGTAAAGTTGTGCAGGAATTTTTACTAGAGTGTACTAGTAACACCCGTTTAGTTACTCCCTAAAATTCTCATATACCGGGTGTTCAAGCGAGCAGAACATTCAAATGTAACTAGCATTTCTTATATATCGTGTGACTCATAAAAATTAATTTTTCACATGTATCATCTCTGCCTTACCATTGACTTTTCTATTAATATTGATTGAATTTTAAAAGCGGAGAGCATTCTTTCTATGTTTTACAGTTATTGTTAAAAAAATAATAAGTGCGCTAGAAATATGTACGCATTGTTAAAAAACAATTATTACACAAATTCGTACCTTATAAATGCAAAAAAAAGAAAAAAAAAAAGAAAAGGAAAGAATGGAACTCGCATTCACTAAATATTATAAATATAATAAATATTAAATATTTCGAATATTTTATGTAGGTTTGCGTGAACGCATTCTGTGCACTTTTGTGTTTTTAAACATCTGACAAATATACAAAAACTCGCAATATAATCAGTGAAATCACGAGAAAAGTGAAATTTTTTTAAAATAATTTTTCATTCTCGATGTAAAGTAGTCTAACTTTTTATCGCTTTCTGAATAATTTTGTAACAAAAAGCTCAAATACCGACGATTCAGTCTCATTATTATGAAAGTTCTTGTAGCACCTACTCAAAACCTATCGATTCCTCCTGATAAATAGCTTCTCACCGAGGACTTTCATTCTCCCCTTCGTATTTTCCCCTCAAATTTCATCAACGATCCCATTTTCAACCATTCCAATCAGCGGTGGCACGCGAAGGTGTAGGTCGCGAGGGGGCTATTTGCTATATCGATTTTCCGCGAAGCGAAGAAACACGGAGGAACGTGTACTTCCTGCGAGCTCGCGGGCGTTAAACGTCGTGGAGGCGGAAGACAGAGATAAAGACGGGTGCACGCGATGGGACGGGTGTTGTCTTTATTAGAAGACTGCATCCGCGCAATAATCGTAACACGATCCACGTACATTTCCCCGGCCCGGTGATCTCGCTCCAAAGGACACGGAAGCGAGAAGCTCTCGCGACGCGAATGAGTTTTAATTGTATGAATAGATCGACATTGTCTCGGCCACTGTGCCTTTTATTCCTTTTTCATCCGCCACAGTTTCATTTTCTCAATCCTCCAGACGATAGTTGCGTGCGCACTAGTTCGTTTTTGTTCGCGATTTGCGGCTGGCACTTGAAACGCCTCGTTAAAATCTGAGAGATTCCTCGACGGATGGTTGTTTTGTGCTTTTCTAGAACTCGGTTTTTACCGAGACGTACTACGAAACGTAAATATAACGCGTGTTATAGATTCGTATTATTAATATATTTATTAGTAACAGATAATAGTATCACACGTAGAATAACGAGAATGGCACCATTGCGCGAACATGTTATGTTTCAAGTACATGGTAGGCGAGTCATTCGATTCTTTTAAATTACGCCAGTAAATACAAACGTCGTTGGTTGCTGGAAAGAAATCGATGCAATAAGAGACAAATTGAATTTCAAGATGGGTATACGTACACCTATTGCGCAAACTTTCCGGATGATATGTTGTTCCCGTAACGAAAAATTGAAATTGCAGATATTTCGAATCGTTGCTCGGCACTTGCATTCATTTACATTTTGCATAATACAACATTGAATTTTTCAAAGCCCGCGTCACTGCGATCGAAATAGGTGTGTGGCTTTCTTTGCAAGATTACAAAGACTAGGAGACATATCGTTGAAATTCAAGAATAGCTAAAGTGTTTTATGGGTATTTGAAGACCTTTTTCTGCCCGTTTCCGAGGGTATACCTTTTTAAGCTGGTTAACGAGTTCTTTCTTACTCGGTGGAAAAAGATAAGACATCATTTATGCGTGAGTTCCAGCGATTTTTCGCCGTTTCCGCGATAATTCTCCCGGAACGAGTTTCGAGGGGAAAAAGCACGGAAGAGAATACAGCCGCGATAGGAAATGCATCGTGAAGAATAGAAGGGACGTCGACGCTCCTATCTGACCTATATTGTCAACTTCGGGGCTCCCGTTTGGCAAGTTTATATTTTCCTGCACCGCTGATAAAGTATCGACTTGTACGATGAATATTACACGGAAGATCGACTAAAATATGCAAGAGTATAGACTGTACCTACGGACGCAGAACGAAATAATACAAAAATTCTCGCACAGAATTATTTTCTTTTTTATATATTTGACGACAGATCAGAATTAGCAAGTTCGTTCAATTGTCAGTCGAAATTAGCCAAAATCTGCGAGCTAACGCACGGATCAGTCAAAGCAAAATCGATTCAGAGATATTGCGAAAAAAATCGAGAGTGACGGTAGGCAATGTTCATCATCGGAAATCTTCCCGGGAATCTGCTTATCCGCTCGTCAAAGGCTAGTCGAATTCACTTTGCGTGGCATTGATAAAACGAGCACTTCCGGCGTCTGTTTCAGGGAGGGGAGGTGCCATCCCCGAATGGAAATGTCGGCGCCCGTGGCAACATAAAAATCGCGGAAAGTTTTCGCTCGTGGTTCATTCGATGAGTAAAGTTCCTTTTCGGTATTCGGCAGCCACCGATTTCGCGAATCTCCCCGGAAGAATGCGAGATTACCCGCAGAATGGAAAGTTTCGTCTCGCGGGGAGATCGTTTCGGGGCGAAAGTGCACAACTGCCTTTTCAAGCTCTCTGTGTTCCGGTTATATTCGGCTGCTTTTTCCTTTCAGACGACACGGCCACCTGCTACCTTTTGACAGATGGCAGTTTGCTAGACAGTTACAAGACTGCCACTCGAAGAAATTCGACTGTCAACTGTTGTACAGACAGGGATCGTAGGATCTATGGTACGAGTTTGTCGATTGGGGTCGTGAAACCCGTAGAAACGCTCGAGGATTGTTTGTAAAAAGTAGCGATTATGTTCTCGGTGTAGTGTTTTCATACTGTGCACCATATATAAAAGACGTTTCTTTGATTTGAAAACTCTGGGAATAACTTTTTGAAGATGTTTCCTCAGCTCTTGCATTTATTAGATTGTTCTTGCTTGGAAAATGGTATACCTCGAGTATACCAACTTATCAGATACTTGACAGTGTTCTAAATCGGTTTGTCCGCACAAGGGATATTTACGAACGTATAAATTCAGATCACGTATCTCCAAAGATTACATTCTTCACTCTCGGTGGAATATTTGCTTGAAACGAAAGATTTAAGTTGGGAAGAATAATCTCTTTATCTCAGAATCTTGGTTCTTTTTCGACGAATCTGATTGACGTGTAATATTTTTAAAGGAGCTTTGATATTTGACAACAAATGTGAAAATAAAAGTTACATAGAACAATTGTAGAATTATCTCATATAAAGTAAAGTGCGCTTTGTAATAAAATAGGAGAGGGCATGAAGAGATTCTAAATTGCTTAAAAAGAAATTAATTAATTATCACACATAATTTCAATACATGAGTGAGGAAAGCAGTAATTACTAAGCAGTAATCAACATGATCACCCGGAAGGAATTGTAGAGGTTGCACGGGGTGTGTGTATACATGGTATGTGTATGTAAGGGAGTGGTAGGGTTGCGGAGCGCTCTTGCTATTCCGCTTGCAGAACAGTTGGATCATAATATGAAGAGCGTTAGGGGGATGCTTTTGAAATATTAGCGAGGTGGACAGAAACTAGCTACCACTCCAACTGTACTTTATTAAATTAAATACTTTCGACATTTATTGGACTACAGCCTTGCAACTTTTTGTTACAATTAACGAGTATAAAATTTTATTACACGACATTAATATTGATAATAATATTTCATTTGAAAGACGAAAATTAATGCCGAACGAAAATTGTCGAAATTTATTGTAGGTTTATTAATATTCTCCGGACATTGTGAAATTCATTAATTTAATGAGATAGTTAGAGGATGTTCCAGAATTTTAAGAGGACTGTAATTATTTTAATATTGAACGATGATTGTGTGCAAATTCTTGCACTTTGATTGCAAAATTATTAATATATTTTTGGACATTATGAAGTCGAATGATTTAACGAGATATTCGTAGAATATTCCTGAATTTTAAGGCAATCGAGAAATGTTCACTCCCGAGTGAAAATCATACGTTTCACGATATATTTATTAGCCACTTTATATAAATTTTACATTCCATGTTTTTGCAAACTAACGCTAGTACAATGAATATTAATATCGAAATACATGTAGATTGGATTCAGCAATTTTATGCATAACAGGTTCAGCTAAAGCAACATTACAAACTAGCAGAATTAGATTATAGTTATCGTAAAATCAGTGAATAATATAATAAACTCACTGTCGGACTGAATCAAAGCTGATCCATTCAATTCTATTACAGATATTCCATAATACGATCTAGATATCATTTTGATACAGCTGATAAAATTTAAAGAACATTTAAATGTTAGTCACAGAGAGATAGCGTATCGATAGTTCGAGTCGAAGGATTCCGCTTTAATCTCGTGGCGAAACTCCAGGGATTTCTTCGGGCGAAAGTTTGATGGCGTAAAGGGATTTTTCTCAGGACAGTACTCAGACTACGTCGCAGAGAATTCCTTGCAACGTATCCTTCTCGGGAAGGAAATAAAGTAGAAAGGGTTGATGGTTCGTGACAGAATGAAAAGTATTGGTCGACGTTCTCTGTCTTTTGCTTCCATTTCTTC